TGTTCAAATACAGCTTCTCCAATTTAAGATTAAGGGGTTACTTTAATTTTAGAACTTGTCAAACATTGTGATTTAAGATGCACAAAAGAAATAATTAACTTGAATGCAGAAAGGATAAAACCTAAATATATTGCGTAAATCAAATTAAATTTTAATTTCTTATATAATGGTCTATCTATCATTTGAAGTGATCAAGTGTGATTAACAATAACTAAAACAGCATTTCATTAAGCCTCTTGAATATATGTTTTATTGAAAAAAGTTGAGAGACTATCTTTATATTAAATTCTATAATAATTTTAATTGATTAAAAATCTTGTTATATGGTAAATTTCCTAAATCCTAAATTAAATTGGATGCAAAAATAAATAAATCCAATCTTAAACTTAAATATTTAGATTTTGAATATATATATTATGTTGGATCAATATCTTCAAGGTTTACTTCTTTTCAAATTCTAATTAAATTAAAATATAATTTCAAAATTTTTATAGATTCCTTTACAAAAATGAGAATACTCAAATATAATTAAATCAAACTATCAATCTAGTCTAAAATTTAGAATTTTCATTCATCTTAAAAGTGAATATCATCATTAATTTCAAATCTCAAGATTTTTAGATTAAATTCTACTTTGATTTGATAGGAGAAAGCTAAATAATTGAATCTTAAAGCAATGCTTTGCATAATTTTAGCAATTATGAAGCATTTTTATAATAAAAATTCAGGATTTTCAAGTAAACTCAAAACAAAATTAGAAATATTATTTTCTTGAATGAAACATCTAGCAGAAGCGAAAATTGAAGAGGGTTGTTTGAATCAAAATGAACAGAAGAAAGTTGAGTTGAAAAAACATAAAGAAAAATTCACAAACAAATAAATTCTACATAAAATCCTTAAAGAATAAATTAACGATCTTATAATTGAAATTATTGATTTTGGATAGACTTAAGAAGGAAAATGCTATGTTGTAATGGAATTTTGAAATTAAATTAATTTGATGAATCTGGCTAATAAGTATTAAGCATGTTTAGAAGTAAATATTACTTTAATTAGATGGGAAAATCTAAATAATACATAAATATTATATAATATGGATATTTTCATAGAGATTTAAAACCTGAACACTTTGTTACAAGTTAAAAGGGAAAAATTAAACTAATAGATTTTGGAATTGTAAAAAAATGGATGATAATTTCTTTATGTCGTTAGATTGAGTTTTTCTCATTTATTAGTTCCAATTAAGTCTATTATCATGGTGAACATTAAAATTGGAATAAAGTTGGTAAATGGGATATTTTTTATAAAGATGTTAGAGTGAAAAAAGAATGGATATAAAGACTATTTCTATTATTATCTTTAGAGGAGGATGTTATGAGATTACCAAAGGAGATGATAATTTTTTTCAAATTTAGAATGGAAGATGGATCGAATTAAGTGATAGATTTGATAGGTATTGAGTTTAAATATTTAATGATAAGTTTTAGTTAAACTATTTTTAAAGGTGATTACAAATGAGGTAAGAAAGTTGATAGATAGTATAAGATGAAGAAATAAGGAAAAAAATGAAGGAAGATTTTAATAAAATGTAATTTATAATAACTCAAATTATTGGCGGGGAGGAGTATTACTGAAATTGAAAAAATAAAATAAGTTTTCAAGTTATTTATTATATTAAATAGGTATCTTCTTCCATATCTCTGAATTTGAAAGAAAATATACTTTTTCAATATGTATAAATATTATTTCCAGATTTTTTTTGGTTGATAAACATATGTATAATAATTAATTAAATAATTAAGCATTTATTATGTTTTTAACAATTAGTAATAAATATATATATTCAAATTAATCAAAAACATGTTAGAAACTCATTTTTTGATGATTTTAAGTTGAATCAATAAATAATAAAATAACTTTGCCAATTAATATTGGAAAGCACTTGGTTCTTATTATAATCTATAATGTAGCTCCTCGATTGGCAATGCAAGTTCTCCTTATAAAAATTAACCTGAATCTTTTTAATTTAGCTATCAATCTCAGTTTAGATACACAAGCCAAAATGTCTTTTAACAGCTAAACATTATTACAAGAATAGTGTAACCAAAGTTAAGTATGATAACTTCTAGTCTCTGTTCCATCCCCTAAAATTAATAAAAATAAATACATGTGCCAAATTAATAAGTTAAGGTATTTGAATCATTAGTATAGGTGTATATGTTAGGTTGAGCCTGATGTTATCTGTGGTATAATAGTTAAGACCTTAAAGATTAAAAATGAACCTTGATTCAGATTATATTTAGATTTGCTAACTAGTATATTACCCAAGAGAACTTTATAATCCTAGATTAATTATATAATCTTCAATTATGACAACTTAATAACCAATTTTATTTAGATTTTAGAATGTAAAATCTATTGAATTGATTTCAACAGAAACCGACGTGTCAATTCACTAATCTGAAAATATTATCATAGGAAATTATTTTTTTAAGTAGAAAATCAAAATTGCCGCTATATTAAAAACCTGTTAAACTTACAAATCCATTTGTTGCATTACTCAATGTATGTGGAAAAGTCATATTGTCAATTGAGGTTGTACTGATATAGTTTATCACTTGATAACTCCTTCCACAAACAGCATACCATTTAACTCTTAAAGCATATACTCTTTAATTTGGACATGAAATTTTTAGATGAAAATCTAAATTGATGAAATTATATATATTTACATGTAAGATGAATATTTGTAACTTCCAAAAAAAATTATGCGTTTGTATACCACATATCAACTTTTTCAAGGGTTAGAATTATTTTTTGAGTTTCAGGAAAGGAATCTGAAAAGATTATTTAACTAGTTATTGAATTAGATTAGCTAATAAAAATAGTATTAAAATAGTCATCGAAACCTTGAAGATGTTGGTATCATAAAATATTAAGCCAAAGACAAATCTTGACAAAATTATGAGGATTTTCATATTAATCATAATTATATATATAAAATTAATATTTTTAAAAGTAAGACTATGATATTTCTATAAAATTAAAAATAAAAAAAATTGAAATTAAATGATATGAAATATTTATAAAATATCTTCTTTATTTTTAAAGAATGTTTTTATAGAAATGTAATTTAAATTTTCATCATCCATCTTCAATTTAAGAATTCTAAGAATTTAAATGTAATATATAAATCCATTTGATTTTCATGTTTTTTTTTTAATATATAACATCAGCATAAAATAGATGACTTATTTGTAATATATAGAAATAATAACAATATATTTAAGGTTTAAAAAATATAATGAGTGCTTAATTCAAATTTCTTCATCTTCATCAATTTCTTATTTTAATTTAGTCAATTCATAACTTTCATTTGTTCTTGACTATTTTTATATTTTTGCTTTTTGAGTTAAAATACAATAAAATACAAGACATATCAATAATGTTGGAAGTAGTATTTATTTAAAGTAATCAACTTCTAATTGTATCTATTCAAATAGATCTTAACAATTAAAATCAGAAAAATAGAATTTCTAAGTATTTGAATCAATAGTCATAAGTTTTTATGCTAAGAATGGCAATCCTAACTCAATACGATTTAATTTAGAGCTATTAAATCTTAATATATGAGTATCATTTTAAAGTTATAAGATATATGATTCTGATTCCATAATAATTTTTTCATCATCATCAAATATAAATTCTATATCTGGTAATTTTAGAGATTGATTCTTCACAATTAGATTATAGGATTCTTCTACAACTTAAAATTTGGAGAAATATGTTAAAATCTTTCATAATTTTCTTCAGGTAATAAAATATATGGATCTATACTATCAATAAATGTAAGCTTAGCTGTTAGATTAACAATTGTTTAATTTTGTATTTTAATTACTTAATATTTAGAGGAAGAATTTGATTTGTAATTTATTTGATACTTATATGGATTCTTAAACTCTTTTGATATAAATCCTTTATTAAAACCAAGGTATATATGAAAAATATTGGAAATAAAAGGATTCTATGGATATTTAGTTGCTAAAACTATAAAAATCATAAATTACATCCTCTCTATTGTCCTAAACCTAATATTTCCTCTTGATCTGTAGAAACGTATAACATCTTTTCTATTTGTTATTCTTGTAACACATTGTTGAAGCTGATATCATTTTGCATTAAATTACCATCTTCTAGGACACAATTGGGAGTGCAATAAGAACATTCAACCTCATCTCCAAAAGGAGATGAATTACATTTGACTTCCTATCCTCTAAGTTTCATATAGGTCAATTAAGAATTTAAATCAAGTGTCAATGACCCTTATTGATAGGCTAATTGAAAAGCAAAAGTTTTTGGGTTTTACTTGATGGGATAGATGTGTGATGCCAAAGCACTTGTAATTAAAAATATTATCATAATAATAATTCATAATGCAATTGAAGCAGTTGCTAATGTTGTGGTGACAATTCCTATCTTGAAAATGAAATTAAGCATTTTCTAATGTACTTATTCAGAGGTGACATTTTGTTTATGTTATTCCCAATTCTTTAATTACAAATCCATAATTTCAAACCATAAGTTTGGATCCCATGCCAATAATATACAAACAGTATATCCATGCGGCAATTAGGGACTTTCATCATAAAAACAAATTGTTTAATATGATTTGTATGGATTTTCATGATGATCTGAATGTCTTTTCAAATAAAAGAGAAGATAAGTGGATAATCTATGAGGAGCATTCCAACTGTGTCTAATATCTACTTTCTCATATTTTCCAGGTTCTATTTCTTTTCTGCTTAAACCATAATGTTCGACATAATTTATGGTCTCTAAATACAAAACACTATTATTAACTGTACCTAAGAAATAGGCACATCCCAAAAAACCAAAGTAATAATAAAAAATACATGGAATAATAAAATAAGAAATTGTATACCTATGATATAATTAATTATTACCATATCATTCTATTTTAGATTCTAATAACTGATCCATATTTCTTTTACATAAGATCAGCTTCATAATTCCAAGCTGATAGATATGAACCGATTATGGTTTATTGTAAAAAGTGCCATATTTTTTATCCTTTCAATGAGGATGCTGGATCTTTAGGAGTAGCAACATGTCTATGATGACCATGAAGATGTTCTATTGCAAAGTGTGTGTACAGGTTTCTAGCTAATTTAACAGTTCCCAATAACTTGTAAAGCAAATTATCCTTATGAAGCAATTCATCAATATTGATATTCGAAGCAGCCAAATTACCACACAAATAAGATTATACCTAGTTTATTGAATAACTAGATCTCATTGTTTAAATGGAAATTGATCATCCAAACCAGACTAATCCAATCAAAGATGACGCACACATATAATGGAAGCTTAAATTTCATCTCTGACTCTAGTTTCCTAATAATAATCTATTGGGTTATTTACATTTATTCATCTTTGGTTGGATTACGACTATCTAAAGAGAAAAATTCGTCCAAAAAAGGAATTAGAGTATAAACAATCCAAATAGCTATCCAAGCATTTTCAAAGTAGGAAATCGATATAATAGCCATTAAATATAGTACACCGTAACTACTGAATAGAAGCGAGTCATTATTGAATATCTTGATTTTACTGTTTATGATGATTGTAATTTTAATAATATTGTTCTATGAGGTAAAATTTGGAACTTGAGATAATAATTTATTCTAAAAAGTTTTCTTTTGATCTATTTTGTAATTACATTAATAAACCTTATCTTATTATTATGATTATTATTATGATTATTATTATTATTATTTATTTTATTTTGACTCTCTTTTCTCTTTATTATTTTTTTTTTTATAATTTTTCATATTTAATTAATTACTGCAAATACTTTTCAACATAAATTATTGGATTATATATATCATTTCCAAAATCCAATACTTAAAAACTAATTGTTAAACCACTTTCTTCACAATCTTGTATGTCTTTGATACTACCACTTATTTTTATTGAATTTTTATTATTAGGAAATTAATTCTTTAATAATTCGAAAACACAAGTTGCCACACATATGTCTTCACCTTGAACTTCAATACTGATTGATTTAGATTCATTGAAAAGATATTTTAATTATAAAATAGCTTCAAGGAAGTACTTAGCTGCATCAACTTCTTTTTAACCTGAACTCTTTACTTTAATCATATATTTAATTTTATAAAATGGATTTCTTTTCTAAGAAGAAGAAGAAGAAGAAGAACATCCAGAATAAAAAGGATGTTGTGCATTTTTAACAATCAAATATTATTAACCTTACTTTAATGTCTCTGAAGATGATGTGATTGATAGAGTAAAAGCTTCATTTCTCCCATTTAGGAAAGACTTTCATGAATGTTTTGCAGGAAATCCTGATCTATAAATGCAATATTATATATCTAGAGGAGGTCCATTAAGGATTAGTGCAACAATTATTATTAATTTAATATTAATACTAATATACAAAATTCAATTTAATAATGTCTTTCTCATTACAGCTGTCGCAAATATCAACTAAATGAATTTAGAAGGATAAACAACATATTCCGTAGCTTATGTTCCATAATCAGCAGCACTTTTGTATTGCATAAGTTTTGGAACTCCAGTCATTCTTACACTTGTAATGAAGATTCTAGGTAGTGATATCAGATTCTTTCATACACTGTGTCTTTATGGCTATTCCATGTCAATTTTAATGCCTATCACTATTTTATGTGTAATTCGAAATTCTATTCTTTAATGGTGCTTAGTTGGCTATGGTATGATCAGCTCATCAAGTTTCTTAATAATGGGAATGAGAAAGTATAAAAATAAATTAAATTAGAATTTTAGGTGATTTGGAATAATCCAAAAGATATATTATTATTGGAATTGTATTAGCTATGTAATTTAGTCTATATCTGCTTTATAAACTAGTATTTTTTAAAGTTATAGAAAAGAATTCAACAGAATGAATGAAATATTCATAATATATATTGTTTTTATTATTAATTACGGAATTGTTGATAAAATATTCTGCTTTATTAAATTACTGAAAATTGCAAATAGAACTCAACATAAATAATTCAAATAAAAAATTTGATCAAATATAAAAAAAACACATTTATTATAAGATATATTTTAAAAATTAATAGAAAAGATTAAGGAAAGTTAAATTATTCATAAACCATTAAGAGTAAGATAATATAATTAATCATATTAAAAATATATATTGTAGTAAAATATTCATATCAAAATAAGTAATGATATATATACTATAAGATCTGATAAATAATGACATATACTAAATTAGAACTTATTATATTGGGATTAATTTTGGTTAATTATGATATTACTTTTAGAAGTATAAATCCTTATCAAACTGTGATTAATAAAATTGTTATAAATTTATAAAAAAATATATGGAATATTATTAAATTTATTATTAAAATTGTCTCAATCAGTGTATATTGATTTCAAAAAAAAAGTATTCAACAACCAATAGTTAACTTTAGTAATTGATATTAATTTTAATAAGAAATTTTAATCTAAAATATCTTATTAAAGGTTTTTATGTAAGTTATCTCAAAATATAGAATTTTATGAGTCATTCTTTTTAATATTAAAGCCGTGTTTGATTGCTATATAATATTAAAATATCTAATATATTTCTTGATGTAGTCACCACTAAATACTGATGATAGCATAGGATAAAATAATTTTTACTAAATGGCTGATTATATATAAAGTCCTAATCAAACAACCTGCTTAGATATATTAGGGACATAAGTGGGAATCTTCGTTTAGTAGAGATTTGAATTTTTCTAAGTGATGATGGGTAGAACTACTTAATTTAAAATATTTACTAGGATTTTAGACTCCAAATGTATTTAAAGTATATGCAGCGAATGATTAAGGATAGTAGATTGAACAAAAAGAATTATTCAAATGTAAAGAAAAATCTTCAGCTTGTGCAAGATTGACATTAGGGTAACTCTTATAGTAAAATTTAGTCCACCTTATCGACCATTTGAGATGTTTGTTAGTAATTATGGGTGTAAAGACTTTTAGCCTAATATGGATTAATTATTTTAAGAAAACTCTGATCGAATTGTATTTAGATTTGATAGATAGTATGCATGTACTTGCTGTTGTTTGAATAGGTTATTATATTTAATTATGTAATTTAGGCCACGATTAGATGTATAATATGTTGAAAATGGTTAAAATAAGAGTTTAGGTTATATTATTAACCCTTAGTATTGTTGTACACTTGGTTGTCATATTTATGATTCTGAAGATAAATTGAAATACATTATAGAAGGTAGTTGTTGCTAATGCTATTTTTGGTGTAGATGTCCATGTAGTGATTAATGCAACAAAGTTGATTTTGATATCAAAACTTCAAATGGGGAAGTATATAATTAAACTAGTTATCAAGGTTGTTGCTCCTATGAAAAAGGAGGCCAAAGGTTGTTGTTAAAATTGGGCTGACTTCACTGATAATATTAGTGTCGTATTTCCTTAGAATGCATCAAAAGAAGATAAAGCTTTAATTCTAGCTGCCACCATTTTTTTTGATTACATGTATTTTGAGAATAAAGATGGTCCATAACCATCAAATTGAAAGTAATGATTATTATTCAATTAAATAAATTGTGTATCATATATAATTAATTATTTTATCTTTAATCTTGAATTAATAGAATCCTATTAAAGTAGTACTCTTCATAGATTATTAAAAATAATAAATGAAATATAATCATTTATATTATTAAATTACTAATTTAATGTATAATCTTTTATCAAATTTTAAAATTACATTTGAATGCGATTTCTGTTAAAATAGTAGATAAATACATAATTTTAGATCAAATGATTTTTAAAAATATCTCAGAAATTAAGTTAATATTATTTTTTAATTTATTGGTTTATATAATATTTAATTGAACGAATATTATCGAATGACAATTTTTGACATTAAACTAAAAATATTGTTTTTAATTTATTGAGCAGTAATTCCTTAAACATAATCTCATTCAAATCTTTATTAATTTTCTTATTGTTAATTAGTAGAACGTTTTACAACATTGGAGTATTGTTGGATCTAAAATCAAAGATTTTGGATATTTAAATAAATAAATTTTTCCATTAAACTGAAATTGGTATTTAGAATTCTTTCTAAATGTTTTTAACTTCCTGAATCACATAATTATAATTATAACTCCAATCCTATACATATATAAAAATAGCCTGATATTAAAATATTTTCTAATAATGAATTAAAATTCGACTTCTCATTACATTTAGTCCAAATGTAAATTATTATAATTAAAAATAGTACGTGAGCTAAATTTAGAAGGTAAATAAGATGAAACTTTTGAGTAAGTAAACAAAAATATTGAGAATAATAACAACAATATCCTTTTATATAGAAAAAAGGGTAGATTTTGTTAAATTTAAATAGCTAATCTTTTATCTTAATTGGGAAAATTATAGGAAGTTTTACATACTTGGGAATAGGGCATTTAAAATAACATTCATGATATCAATTTTTATCAAGAAAAAGGCATTCCTTATTTTACAATATATTAGCTTAAGTACTAAGGAATTAGGGCAAATGGAATGAGATTATTGAATTATATGATTTTGGTATAACAAAAAATGCTAAAGATGTTTCATTTTATTTTTTAAAATGTATCAGACTAAGATTAATATTCATTAGGTCGTGAATTATTTGAATAAAATAAATTTAAAGAAATAATTGAATGTTGGGATTAAGGAATTTAAAATAATAAAGAGTTTAAAATATATTACATTTAGAAAGGTAAATTTCTAAATCATCCATATTCAAAGCTAACTCTATTAAAAACTTTTATACTCTAAATAATGGAATTATAAATAATGAAGCATGGAGAGAAGTTGCAGACTGTTGGGGTTAAGGAATCACCTATAATAAAAATGATTACTCGTTCTATTTAGAAAAAGGTAAATCTCATTTTAGATATCTTTAGTGTATGCTTTAGAATAATTAGAAGAATATTAAGAAATATTGGAATGTTTAAATTTAGGGCTCAAATATAATAAATATCAATTGCTTTTATATCGAAAAAAAGGTAATTTTTAAATGTATATGATTAGGAGAAATTTTAGAAAAAATGGGAAAAGATCAAGAAATAATAGATAATTATGATCAAGCTATTTCAATAATGGTACACCCTGGTATTTATGAGGAAAAAGGTACGAAAATTATTAATAATTTAAGCTATTGCTTTAACTAAATAATAAAAATGGAAGGAAGTAATATAATTTTGCAACTGTGATAAATAAAAGTTAAATAACTATTTTTTTTTAGTCAAGATATAAAGTAATAAATGATTATATTATTTAATAGTTTAAGCTCTATCGGAATTAAATGAATAAGATTAACTCATTAAATTATGTAATGAATTCATACAAATGATATGTACATCTATCAGTTCAGAGGTTAATATATTATTTTGAATTTAGCCTAAGCATTATTGAAATATGTTCTATGATATTAAAATCTTTAAATTAGGGTTGTTGGAATAAGTTATTGAATCATGTGATGAAGCTATCATAAAAAATGAAAAAGTACAAGAATTTTATGTTGAAAAAAGTATTTTAAATGGAACTATTTTTAGTTAAAGCCTTAAATGATTAAAATAGATATCCAGAGTCTATTCAAAATTGTAATATTGTAATCAATTTGTAATTATAATTAAATAGAAATATAAAATTGGAAAAGTATCAAATATTCTTTTTCTATTTAGTGAATATCTTAGGAAAATAAAGTAATATCAGAGAAGCTCTAAAGATATCTAGAATTAATGGAACAATTAGAAAAAATATATTAAAACAAATTTGATGACAAAATAAACAGCTGTCACTTTATTAAAGTGTTTCAAATAAATATTTTAAAGTTTTATAATACGAAAAGAATAGATTATCTTTTTAATTATAAAAATATTTTGATTAATATTAAGTTATTCTAATTGGGAAATAAGTTTCCCTACTCGAAACTTAAATATGCTGAATAACTCATTTAATAGAAATATAAATATTGGAAGAAAAAATAATTATGATATATGGGGGTGTGCTTTTTTATGAGAAAATTTGATACGAATAGTTAATAGGGTCATCGCAATAATAAATTATTAAACTATGATGATGAATGGAAAATGTTAGGGGAGAATTAGCATTTTTATACTTTGATTATTAACTTATTAAATTGACACCTAGAAATTGGTAAAAGATAATATCAATTAGAACCAAAAGTAAATTCTGACTTTCTATAAGCTTAACTTTCAAAAAAAATTAAGGAATCCTTATAAAATTAGATTGAAATTTTGATGAAACAAAGTTTAAGAGCTAAAGAAATTCTTTTTTATGTTAGCCTGGTTATTAAGATGATGATATAGAGAAAAATGATTTAATTCAAACTTAATTGGAACTTTACCATTTCCTAACAAAAACTTCTTCTCAGGTTGCCCAAATGATGGTAAAGATAGGAATGATATTTTAAACGGTTGTTTAAATGGTATCTTTAACTCAATATTTGATATGAAACCGAATACTGAATTGTTTATGTAATTTTATAAAGGAGCCTGCCTACTTTACGATAAGTATGCAGTTTAAAAAAAAAGAGAATAATATGAAGTTTATTTTTCAATTGATATGTTGCAATTGGAGATCATAAATAATTGAAAAAATGAAGGCTAACAGGATTTGGAAGAAATAATTATACACTTTGAGAATACACATTAAAAACTTGTGAAAAATTCAAGTAATTGGAAAAATCATTATTTGTAGATATATATGATTGGAAAAATATTAAAATAAAATGTTCACCAGTCGTAATA